TTTCGAACTCTCGCGCGAGCTCATTGTCAACGAATGAAAAATCGTACGGTTAACTGCCTATTTAACTCAGTTCTGCCTCGAGTGACCTTGCCCTTGACGTCTGCCTTCGATCTATCCGCGCAACACGATACAGGCATCAGGAAGATCGATATGCCTATTAATTGAATTAATTCTCAATAAGTAAAATGAATTAAACTTTTAAAAAACAATAAACTTAGTGTCTGTTGCTATAGGAATACAGTAGTTAACATACAAAAAGTTAACTTACTATAACTATGAAATAATAAGCAGAACGAGGCCATGATGTATATCTTTTGAACCAATGCAGCCTCCGTAACTTATCATTACTGCAGGAGCAAGAATAAAAATGTCAAGTTATTCTGAAAAAAATGGGTTTTGTGGCGGCAGTTGTTAGCTGTGCTGAGTTTAAAGGATTAGGACGAAGGGTCCGACCTGTTGTAACGGTAGCCAAGGCCGAGGTGTCACCATCCAATTACGCCTTGTGTGAGTTCCCCAAGGAAGACCACGACAAGAAGGGCAAAACAGCAGAAGTCTTTGACTGTACTAGGTACAACACATTTAGAGCAACAAACGCGTGTAAACTATGTCCATCGAGCCAATCAGCTTCTGGCCTGGCGTGGCTAGTGGCACGATTGGCTGGTGACTCAACGACTGACTGTACTTAAATTTTAAATTATTGATTGATTGCCTGTCATTATGCTTCGCCGCCTGTAGGCCGATCGATAGCCTGTCATGAGCGCGCTCGCTACCTGTATGCCAGTTCGCTGCTAGCAGTCCGTTAGGCGCCTCCTAACACGACCGAGGAACGAACTACGTGACTTCGCGTGGGAATGATGGCTGGCCTATTTTATGAAAAGGCATATGGTGAATCAGCTTTTTCTTATCGCACTCAGATGCGAGGAGTACGTTTACGTGACGTTTTTGCAGGCCAGATTAGTGCGGGCTTCGTAAGACTATGCACATTCGTCAGACACAAAAAGAACTTCCGTCTCAAGCTAAGAGATACTCCATTTCTAGCGAAAATGTTTGTAATATCTACCTCATCATGTCCGTAGTCGTGGGAATGAGAGAGCTGTGTGTAATCAACTTCTTGTCTAGACGACGTTTTTGTGGTTCTGGACTTTATTGCGGGGTGGGAGGGCTGCGCTCGTACGCAAACGTTATTTTGGCGGAAAGTGCAGGTATTGTCTGTGTCCACAAGCTACCAGTCTGACGCACATTTGCCAACTATCGGCACAGCGTTTTTTTTAATGCCAGACGTGCGGCCGCAAATATCTAGTCAGTTTGCCAGACTACGAGCAAAGTAGGACTGCTAATGGAATTACTAATGCCTGACAATCGCCCACAATGACTAGGTGTAACACTGCTTATGGTTCTTTGAGTGTACGGAACGAAAAATGGCGCCCCACAACGCCGTTATTCTTACTCCAAAATCCTTCAGGGTACACGCAGATATTAAGAGAAAATTGGCCGTAGAACGTGGACAAGACACGTTGTAAACC